ATAAACATTTTTGCATGTCCAGACACCCCCTCTTTGAAAAGACCCCTCCTCCTCAAATATGGGATCTATCGTAAAACCGTTGACTGGTGCAGTGTACTCGTCCACAGCCCTGCCAAATTTCATGTTGATCGGTGCAGCCGTTTTTGTTCTACGGTTGACCAAAAATCACTTAAAATTTTTTTTTAAAATAAATAAACAGTATGAAAACAATACGACTCCCACTTACACTTCACGTGCGGGGGTTCATGATTATCTAAAATACTCATAATCAGATAGCAAAGCATGCAATTTAACTTTGAACATTGCTGTCTGTGCTAAGGTGACAATATTCTTTGTCAATTGCTCATTGATATACTGTACACACCAGTGCCTTTTAAGCTTAGATGCTTGCATTAACAGGTTGTTTCTCATTTTACTATTGTTTACTAAGTTTATTTCCATGTGTTGTTTTTACATTATAATTTATTCTGTTTTTACTTTACCTTATGAATTTCTGCTTCATTATGCACATACATTGCCTATTGGTCAACAGACAGATGGAGCAGAATCTATGTGCAGATCGATTGTACATACAGAAATGTAAAAACATTATATGGAAATAAAAATACACAAATTGTTTAATTTAACTGATTCTAATGACTGTAAAAAAAAATTTGTTTCAGACCAGCATGGTAAATAAGAATTGTTCTTAATGTTTTGCCTGGTGAAATAAAGGTTTAAATTAAATTAATGAACTCACTAGTACTAAACTGAGGAAGCACAGGCATGCACAATTAGTCTGTACAAGGATCCTACCAGTTAAAATACAAAAATAATTCTGGTGAACCATAGTTATAACCCTTGCACGCGAAGCGTAAGCAGGAGTCAAAATGTTTTTGTACTGTTTTTTTTTTTCAGTGATTTTTGGTCAACCGTAGCACAAAAACAGCTGCACCAATCAACATGAAATTTGGCAGGACTGTAAAAGAGTCCGACCTACACTGCGCCAGCCAAAGGTTTTACGATAGACCCCATATTTGAGGAGGGGGCTCCATCCAAAGAGGGGGTGTCTGGACATGCAAAAATGCTTATAACTCAGAAACTATTAAACATAGGAGCTTCAGATTTCTTTTGTTGTTTAGCTCTGATGAAGCTCTATCCATCAGGCCCACCAATCAGTGCCCTCCCAGACCCCCATTTATTTGAAAAAGGGGTATCTAAACATACAAAAATGGTTGTTGCTCAAAAACTATTAAACATAGGAGCTTCAGATTTTCTTTTTTGTTGTTTAGCTCTGATGAAGCTCTATCCATCAGGCCCACCAATCAGTGCCCTCCCAGACCCCCATTTATTTGAAAAAGGGGTATCTAAACATACAAAAATGGTTGTTGCTCAAAAACTATTAAACATAGGAGCTTCAGATTTTCTTTTTTGTTGTTTAGCTCTGATGAAGCTCTATCCATCAGGCCCACCAATCAGTGCCCCCCCCCAAGACCCCCAATTCATCTGAAAAAGGTGTTTTCGTACTGTTTTTTTTTTTTCAGTGATTTTTCGTCAATCGTAGAACAAAAATGGCTGCACCAATCAACATGAAATTTGGTAGTGCTGTAGATGAGTCTGACCTAAGCTGCACCAGCCAGCAGTTTTATGATAGACCCCATATTTGAGGAGGGAGCTCCTTTCAAAGAGTGGGTGTCAGGACATGCAAAAATCAGTGCCCCCCAACCCCCGGACCGCCAATTTATCTGAAAAAGGGTTATCTGGATGTACAAAAATGGTTATAGCTCAAAATCTATTAAACGCAGGAGCTTCAGATATCTTTGGTTATTTAGCTCTGATGAGGGGCTATCCATCAGGTTCAACGCCCACCCCAAAAAAAAAGACCCCCACCCAAAGCACTACAATTTTGGGATGCACCTAGTAGCATGACATTTATTAGGAATAAAGACTTCTGAGTTCTGATGCATTTGTGCATGCGGGGGTCATTATGTTACCGCTCTTCGTTATCTAGTTCAGAAGAAATGAACTCATTTTAAAAGTTGATTTTCAGTATTTTATTCTTAGTTGTTTCTTATAGTAAATTAGTAAATTATTGTAAATAAATTGCACTCAATTATGTGACTATTGTTGGTTTTCTATAAGAAACAGTGAAAATATTTGTGTCTGCGAGACGTTTTGTGAACAAATTTGAATTTCTTATTAAACTAAACAAATCTGACTCATCCTGTATATATATAAAACTAAAACACTACAGCTTTGAGGAGTGGTAATTTGTCATGAAGCCTAACCATAAATTCCATCTGGAAGACTCTCTCCACCCTAACCTGCGTCATCCGGTTGTTGCATCATGTGATGTGCTTCTGCTGCAGCTTATCAGCATTGGACAAGTCTCCAGATATAAAGTCCTCCATCCATGGCTCCTCCTGCCCACCAGCTAAACTTCAATCCATCTCCTCCCCTTCTCCACCCTCATTCTCTCGACTCTTACACACCTGGACCAGCCCTTCTGCTTTTCTCTTTTTTCCCTTTCCTGTCCACCAATCCAGCCAATTGAGGCAGATGGCCGCCTGCCCTGAGCCTGGTTCTGCTGGAGGTTTTTTCCTGTTAAAAGGGAGTTTTTCCTCTCCGCTGTCGCTATGTGCTGCTCAGGATGGGAGTCTGTCGAAAAGATTTATCAGAATCTGCTGGCTTCCTAAGGCAGTTTTTTTATTTATTTATTTTTTGTGCCCTGGGACAACATATGTCATGGAGCTACATAAATAAACTAAATGTATTCTAAATGTAACTAAATTAATTATTTGGCCTCCACCACCAGTGTCCAGGCCTCGGGGGAAAACATCTCTATTCCTCATCTGAAGCTGCTCATCCAAGTTTATTGCAACTCACAGCACACACGTCTTCTGCCGGGGTCTGAGCGCCAAAACTTTAAATGTATTAATGTCAAATAAAACTCTCTAATCACCTTTTCTCTGTGTGAATCTTTCCAGGTTGAATTAAATCTACCTTCTTAATGTAAAACATAACTGATAGCAGCAGTAGTGCAGATTAACTTAAGCTGCACTACTGCTGCTATCAGTAGTAGTAGTAGTAGTAGTAGGGCTGTACGATCTGAGCCACCCACACTGAAATTTATGTTCTCCTCTTGACCAAAAGTTTCTTTCTGTCGTCTTTTTGACTTTGCAGAAACCGGACTCTGCAGCTGGATGTCGACCCGACTCAGTCAGATTTGGTGTGTGATAGAGAAATTAGGTTACAGTTTGCTTTTAGGACATATCACTAACCCCCATGACCCCTGGCTTGGATCCTGCTCCCCCTTCAGCATCAGCAGAATCATTTGCTCCTCTATGATGGCCTACAGGACTCTGATGTCGATGTCAAGGAGCATGAGCTGCCTGGAGAAGCTTTCACATGGTGGCAACCTTCAAACTGTATTTTTTTCCTCAATTGTCCTCAAACTCTGTAATGACCATCCTTGTTGGTGTCATTCCTGTTCTATGGCAGCAGATAAGCTGGCAACCTCTTCCGAGTTGATGGTGATTTTTTTTAACCTTTGGTTGGTTGTTTGTAAACAAAACAGTGGTTTAAACCTAAAAGATTGTTAAGTTGCCCTAAAATTTGTTTTTATATTGATGATCAAGGTTTAAAATGACTGTGAGAATGTCCAACTGTAGCGACATTAAGATCTCTCTTGCCTAAAAAACACTGGGTTTACAGCGCAGGTTTCTGACCTGTTGTTCCAAACTTCAGTGTAGATATTATTTACGTGTTTAGTTTTTTCATGGTCATTAACAACACAGTTGGATTTATTATGATCATCATTCCTAATAAAAGATTTAACAAAACAATCACAGGTGAAAACGTTATTAACTAATTGTTGTTTGATGATTCGATACAAGTATAGCTTGATGCATAATTAAACTTTGTTATAATAAAAAAAAGTCTAATTGTTGCTAATTAAACTTAGTAGACCAAATCTGTTTTTTATGAGACGGAAAAATACAACGAATGATTTTCCTCAGAAAATGTGCAGAAAATTTTAACATTTGTGTTGATTTTGATTCAGGAAAATAATGTCTGCTCCATTCATCAAAAAGAAAAAAATTGTATAGGTCTTCTGGATGGGTTCTTCTCTAATGAAATGTCTCGTCTCTTCTCCAAGAGACTTCTTCAGTATGGGAGTTTCAGGCAAAATTCAGGCTTTTAAGCCCTGCCTCCATGTGACTGATACTCACATCACATGGCTATCATTGACACCTAATTAACACTTATTGTTAACGGGGTGGAGTGATACTGGCAATGGCCGCGCTGTAGGAGGGGGACAACTGAAAACGAGGCCTCCACCTCTGTTCAAAAGAATGTCCCAACACAGACGAGCTACATCTAATGGCCAGAACTCTGCAGTTTTCACTCATTTACAGGCCAGCGGTCACTCTTTCAGAG